GATTGGCCCAAAGTTACCCAATCAGTTTTCATGCCCAAGGCAAGACCAAAACTCAGCCTCACAGCTTCTAGCCTGGTGCCTTATAACTTTTCCACTGTATAACTTTTGCACTAACAAAATATCAGAAGCTGCCAAAGTTCTTCCTTTCTTTTCTCTCTTCCCTTTAAGCAGTGGTGGGATTCTACCAGTTCGGGTGAACCAGTAGCTCTGATAATCGGCTGGGAGCGAACCAGTTCACCCCGACGATCAGATGGGCCCACCCGTGCTATTTTCCTACCTTTATCTCCAGCTGTGTTACTCCTCCAAAGAAACCTGGAAGTGAATGCGCGCAGCGAAGCGTGCAATCACCGAACCAGTTGTTAAACCGAGAGGATCCCACCACTGCCTTTAAGTACTTCAAACTTGGTAAGTTACTCCCTAGTGCAAATTGCAAATTGACATCAGCATGGCTTTTATTATCCCTCAGCCTTTAAATCACAGGATGTCCAACTCGCGGTGTCACGTGCCGTCACGTGATGTTTCGCAATGTTTTTCCCATTCGTGGAGCTGTGGTGGGCGTGGCCTATGCGTGACACATCTGGCCTGCAGGCCGCCAGTTTGACACCCCTGCTCTAAATAAAATGACCAGGTCATTATGATTTTTCTTTACCTAGCTAAGCAAGAGAGAAACAAGTCCAGCTTTTGTGAAAAGCCATATACTTTAAAGTAAAATCCATACTTGAAACTGCTGGGATTCTGAATATCCATGAGAATAATAGTTGTCCTGTTTAAATGGTATAACCTTAAATATATTCAGAAGTCACAAAACAAGTGTTTTTAATCTATTGATCTCTATGGACTGCCTGGATGTGAAGTAAGAACAGGTCTGAACTTCTAGGATTATGATAACCTGAAATTTTAAAAATCATGAACAATAATTTAAAGGCTTACTTTACAAGCATTGCATTTACACCCATTTAGAAGAGAGATGTTTTGCAGCATTATCATTAAAGCTCATATAAAAAACTCAGTCAGGATAAAACTTGCTCACAGACTTTCCTCAATCTAGCAAAACATTGTATCAGATGAAAGCTTATTCAACTTTCTTTTTCAGTCCTTCACAGTTGTTTATGTTGGATTAAACAGCAGTTTAATGCAGATTATTAAATCCCATTCCTTGTGGGTATCATCCAGATCATGCCATATTGATTAGCTAATCAATATTTTTAAAAAATTGGGAGGGTTTATTTATATTTGTATGTCACCTTTTTTTCATACACAGCTCAAAATAGCAAATACACCAATACTTCTTCCACTTCCTATTTTCTCCACAATAACAAGCCTATGAGATAAGTTGGGCTGAGGTTTTTTTTTTCTTCTTCTTAGGATTTTTCCGCAAGCGCAGGTCAGCTTTCTTCAGATTAATCCAGTGCTGATCCACTGGTTGCGATAAGAGTTCACCAACCAGCTTACGGCTGGAGCCTGGGTTAGGCTGAGAAAGAAAATGATTGGCCCAGAGTCACTCAGCCAGTTTTTTATGCCTAAGGCGGAACTAGAACTCAAAGTCTCCTGATTTTAGCCCAACACCTTAACCACTACATCTGTCTCAGATTTAATGTGTGGTTTCGACGATCTCAACAGAATTGACTTTATACCGTGAAACCAAAATACTAAAACACTCTTAACCATATAATACCTATTAGCTTACCCAAGCCACAAACGTACGAAGATCCCTTATCCACCCTCTTGAGTTGTTTCCCTAAAACTAGCAGGTTTCTTCAGCTCATCTGCAAACACCCTTTGAAGTAATAAACCCTCCTTTAATAGAGGTAATATGTGAACCTTATGCTGTGTGTGTTTCCAGCCCAAGTGATAAAAACAAAATGGTGAAATAATAGCTCCTTTTCCAACTAACAAATTTTATGGAAAGACATCAACTTTTGTAAGGTTCAGCCCACTTCACCAGATGCAAAGAGTGACTGGACTGATGTTAGATTTAATTGAGGGGGGGAGACAGGAGAGGTTATGTAGATACTGGTTATCTGAGAGACAGTTTCTAAGTACCTTATCAATTTTTTTTATTTTTTATTTTTGTAATTTGATTTATATGCCGCCCTTCTCCGGAGACTCAGGGTGGCTTACAATGCATTAAGCAATAGCCTTCATACTTTTATATATTTTATACAGAGTCAGCTTATTGCCCCCACAAACTGGGTCCTCATTTAACTTACCTTAGAAAGGATGGAAGGCTGAGTCAACCTTGAGCCTGGTGAGATTCAAACTTACAGTAATTGCAGACAGCTGGTGTTAATCACAATGCTATCAGTCTGCTGAGCCACCAGGCCCCTTATTAACAACTGCAATTAACAACTGCAAAGTGGTAAAAACCCATTGTGTTTGTTAAGACCTTTTGAGATAGCCTAAAATCTTTTGATGCTTAATTTAGCAACGGTCTCAATGGTAGACTTAACATCCCTTGTCTTCAAAATGGTGAGTTTGGGGTCTGTTACAGTGTCCTGGCAGCTTGAATGCTCTGACAACCTTTTGTCCTTATTTTGAGTCTTGTTCCTCCTATAATGTCTGTGATCATAGGCACTAACCTGTCACTTAGGAAATGTATGGGTGTAACTCCCTCATATAGAAGATTCAGGCTACATTCACAACTGTTGAAAAAGTCGACACTAGTTCTCTGGGCATTCAAATAGGGCTTATTGTAAGACCAAGATGTTCTGTTTTATTCTTCTCCAACAACCTCTTCCAAAGGCTTACAAGTCCTAGATTTCTTTTGCTGGCTGAGATTTCCAGGAATCATTGCATTTAAAGGGAATTATAGTGAAAAACATCAAATCTCTATAGTCTTGTTCTGTGCAATGCCATTAGTGTTCTTCTTCAATTTCTCTCACATCTATTACTGCCAGAATACCTGAGTCTTGAAGAAGCTTTCCTTGGAAATGAGAACCTGCTTATTCCTTGTCCCAATGAGACAAAAGGAGTTCCAAAAGTTTCCTCTCTTTCAATGTTACTGGATCCCCTGGATGACCTTTACTGCACTATGAGAATAGGAGCAACTCTGAAGTAAATAATAGGTGACCACGGGTAGAAGCTGCCATTTTAATTTCCTCAAAGCCAGAATAGTATCATTTCATCAGGGAGGCTGGAGAAGGATCAAATATTCCATCAGCTACTGTGTTATGCTCTGTAGCCTCTAGGTATCCATGGAATCTTTTTCAAACACTTTCTCTATTAGCCCAACGTCCATGCAGCTATCAGTGTACAGATGGATCATACTGGGATCCTGCAAGCCCATTTATTCAAAGAAGGCAAGGTTGGTATAGGCATAGAATATCTAACAAAAGGAGTAAAAGAAACAGGAAAGAACTAAAAGCACGGCAAATGGAAGATAACTATGAGACTGTAAACTATTTTGTTGTTAGTTGCGAAGTCATGTCCGACCCATCGCGCCCCCATGGACAACATTCCTCCAGGCCTTCCTGTCCTCTACCATCTCCCAGAGTCCATTTAAGCTCATGCCTACTGCTTCAGTGACTCCATCCAGCCACCTCATTCTCTGTCGTCCCCTTCTTCTTTTGCCCTCAATTGTTCCCATCATTAGACTCTTCTCCAGTGAGTCCTTCCTTCTCATTAGGTGGCCAAAGTATTTGAGTTTCATCTTCAGGATCTGGCCTTCTAAAGAGCAGTCAAGGTTGATCTCCTCTAGGACTGACCGGTTTGATTGCCTTGCAGTCCAAGGGACTCGTGGGAGTCTTCTCCAGCACCATAGTTCAAAGGCCTCAATTCTTTGGGGCTCAGCCTTTCTTATGGTCCAACTTTCACAGCCATACATTGCAACTGGGAAAACCATAGCCTTGACTATATGCACTTTTGTTGGCAGGGTGATGCCTCTGCTTTTTAGTATGCTGTCTAGATTTGCCTTAGCTTTCCTCCCTAGGAGAAAGCGCCTTTTACTGTAAACTATAGTGTTATGGGGGGAAAATTAGCAAGGATTCAGTGTGTGCCTTTTTTTTTGTCGACCTCCTCCAGATGATTAGAGTGCATCTAACTGCAACCTATTAGGCATTTGCCTCTATAGAGTTTCCCAACACTATCACCAGAGAATGGGGAAGAGATTTATTTGGGCACACTTTAAAAACAGCCCCGCAAATCGGAATTTGGCATAGGAAGAAAAGAGTTCCCCCGTCTCTGGGCCACTCAAAACTTAAGGTCCGAGAGGTCTGCACTTCGAGAGAGCCAAAGCTTAACGTAAGGTCCGAGCCTGCCACTTCGAGACAGCCATGCGTCTCTCGGCCGAAACTAAGCAAAGTTTTACTCAAAGGCGTTGTCTCCGAATCCTCCGAGCCTAAATGGGACCGGCGGTGCTTAAAAGAGTCCTCCGGGGCTGGATTTTTGGTGTTTTTTTTCTTTTCGCGAGACGGTACCAGGAAAACGGGCGGCAGCTCTCCGCCTCCACCCCTCTTTTCCCGCCCTCCTTTAAGCAAAGAGTTCGCAACGTTTGCATTGGCGGCCGTCCTAGAAGGGCATGGCTTACAACCACCATGAGGAGGAGGAAGGCAGCAGTCCAGCCGCACCGACTAAAGCGCTAACAGCTCCGGTTCCAGCTCCTGCTCCTGCTCCTGCTCCCATCTTCGAGTGGAAGGTCGCCCCGTTTCGCCGCCGCCGCCACCGCCGCTCTTCTTCCTCGCCGGCAGAAATCACGTGGAGGGCTGGCTCCTTTCCCAGTCTCCGCGATCGCAGTAGCGGCGTGGCTATTTTAAAGTCAATTCCCACCCACCCCACCTCCCTCTCTCTCTTTCTACGCCAGGGAGTTCCTCCTAGCTCGGGACCCGTCTCAGTTTCCGACCTCCGGCTCCCAGGCAATAAAGGTTATACTCGTTAGGCGCCTTGTGCGCGCGCGCGCACGTGTCCGGGGCAAAGCAGCGGAATCTCGCCTTGCAGGATTTCGCCTTCTGAGGCGGAACGCCCCGTTTTCCCGCTACCCCCCCCCCCAGCTCCCCCCACCCCCAACTCCTTCCCTTCAATCCCTACCTAAGGCTGCCTCGGGGTAATGGGTTCCCGAGCGTGAACTATTAAACTGCTTTCTGGCAAGTTAGTTATGCTTGCTGCCTGCCATGCGGTTGTGAGCTGCCTGTCTTGAATGAAACGCGCCCGGCGGGAGAGAAGGGAGCCAAACTAAGGAGGAAGAAAAAAAAAAAAAGAAAAGAAAAAGAAAAAAAAAATCCACGACGCGTCTCTTTCTCTACTCCCCAAATTTTCAGCTCAGCCGCCTCGAGATGGATGAGGATGGGATTCACCTCCACAGATTGCCCCGCGCGTCATGTAAGTGTTCCTCGTTTCCTTTGGGAAGGCAAAGCAGAGCTTGGGCTTCAGGGATGGCAGCAGCAGCAGCAGGGACCGTAAAGTCTCGCTTTTAACTTTAGTTATTCTTCCCGGGATGCAAGTGATCAAAAACCCTCCCACCGAAAACATCTGGATCTTCCTCATAAATGGAATAATAGGATGGCATTGCGTTGTAGTCAGGCCAGCTTTGCTGAAAAGGGAAGGACGAACGCGGCGTTGTTCTTCTTTTTTTTTTTTTTAAATGAAATTAGGGTTTTAATATCGGACAAGCATGAGATGCTCAGCTTATTTTCCCAAGGACGATTCTCTGGGTAATTGTTTCTATTGCGCCTGTGACCCACGAAAAGAAGGTTTTCCGATGAATTTCTGTTCATTCGCGTATGGATTTTATCCGTAGATTGATTCTGAGACGTCACCATGCAAATAACAGCTGTCATATATGAATGGCATTAACTATATTTCTGCTGATTATTTAGCATGGTTGCATATGTATTTGCTAATGATTACATAGTCGTTATTTGTGGTGCTCAGTGTTCAGGGAATTGTGCTCCAGCTTCCTTTGTAACTCTATAAAATCAACGTGCAATTTAGCTACTGATAATAGGGACTGAGCTGGGTGTGTGTGTGTGTAAAGAAAGACAGTACATAGGTAAAAATCTGTGATGGTTATTTGTTAAAGAAGTATATAGTAATGAGATCATTGTGAATTTCATAATAGGATGGCAAAATACTTCTGGTGGAACCAAGATGAGAGGCTGTTGAGAAGATACTGAGTTTGGAAAAGTAGAAGAAAATTGAATCTTAGAAGCGATTCCATATTCCCCATAATTAATTGATAAAGATGACATATTCACATTTTAATATCCATTTGATATCTCTATGTTTTTCAGAGCTGCACAACAGGTGATAATCATTGTGCAGTTCTAGTTTGTTTCCAGGATTTTTTCAAAACTCAGTGGTTAAGTTGGAATATGCAGAAATACAACTGGCCAGCTGAACTGTATACAAATGAAATGTAAATTTAGAATGGCACCATTTATAAATTCCTTGCTTTGTAATCAAGAGGCCAAATCTGGCTGTTTGATTCTAAGAATAGAATGGGGAACCCTTTTTTTCACTTCCTTCTTTAAAGTGAAGTGCCACCAGTATCCTGAAGCTGTTTATTAAAGCAGCCAAATATTACATTGGAGTTCAGCCCATATCTAAAAGTATCGCTGTATGCTCATCAAATCTCTCAGGCTAGAGGAGAGGAAAGTGCAGACAAGGGGCACTTAAGAAAATTAGCCTGATATGAATCAGCTGTGGTTTGATCATTGGCACTTTTTGGGATAGTAGGTATAACTCTGATTGTCAGTGTGAAAAAGCCCCTTATCAAAATTTAGCACAAGGGATGGAGGTTTTGTTGAAAAAGACAAGTCAGCTAGAACTTAGGGCATTAATTATTAATATTTGGGACAGTGGGTGCAAGGTACTATAAAACAGATTATTATTCATAGGGTGTACACGGAACTAGTCATACGAACCAACAGTTCTGTAGAACATCAAATGAACAAACTATTATTTGACATTTGTATTTTCATTTGTTCAACTTAGTACTAGTAACCTAGACCACACATAATTATATTATTCTGTATTAAACATGTAGGATATACTCCAAAAGAGAAGAGATGTGTTTTTCCCTAGCTAATAGAATATGTACATTTTAAAAGATCTAGATTTAGTTCTACAGAATAGTTAAGTAGCATTGACTATTAGCGAAGTACAATGGCATAAAACCATTACTAAAAGGTCTGTAGATCTCAGATTCATTTTAATCAACAGAAAACAACTTAATTGCTTTCTATGAATTTTCAGAAATATGGGCTACATAAAAATACTAGATCCAAAGATAGGCTTGACCCTTGCTCTTATACTATGAATACCTTACTCTGTTCCAATCTTTATTATCAATACTTGCTGACTCCCCCATCTATATGACTTATGGTTCTTTATCCTAGAAAAAATGTTCTCTAATTGCAGAAGGGGCAGGGGAAAGGTTTTTGTGATGCCTTTCCTTATATATAGTATTTTGAAAAAATTACTTATTATTAGACTTGTTTGCCACTCATCTTATTTGTTTCTAGTAGTCAGTATTATTCTATAGTTCTGTTTTGTAGTTTGCGCTGTGTTCTGAATTATAAGACAGCATATGGCACAGATGTCTGAATCTGGTACCCTTGAACTCCCATAATTCCCAGCCAGCAGTCATTGGTGGCCTCTTTTGTAGGACACCAGGTTTGGGAAGGCTAATTCAGTAGGTGCTGAGCTATAGCTTTGGTCCTGCCGTAGAGACATGAAAAACATTGCATTTAGTGGGATTTTTGTAAACCACTTAGATATATTAAAGAGTCAGAAAACTGTTCTGGAATATAATTATTCTGTCCCTCTGAGTCACAGGAATTCTCTTTCATGAGTTTGTGGTTTCACTGCAAGGATAAATGAGATGACTACTTTCCTGCTCTGTCATAATCCTTCAGAGTCATAGGCATGTTACCCTGTGAGACAAACATTAATGTTATTTCTAGCCCTAGTTTATGTTGATCCTCCTGTTTCCTAGAGAAGTTTGAGAGTATGTGTGAGATACTGGTTGGGGGCAGGCCAGGGAAGTATTAACAAATGTTATCATGTTTCTAAGGAACCTGCATTACTGTATCTGCCCCGTCAGTATTTGTGACTTCTAGTCCTGAATGATAATTCAAAGCAAGTTAAAGACCTACTTGTGTTTGATGGGCAGGAATGGGAAATGCGTTGAATTTCATTCTTCTCAAAACTTCTCAGAATTCACAATTCATTTTTTCTACTGTTGAAAAAGAGAAGTTAGCCAGCTTGCAACCATATTTTATTGTAAACTACAATTTTGGTACCAAAGTACCATTTCTGTACTAGACATTGCAACAATACACTGTAACAGCAGCTCTAGCAGGTTCTTTTCTCCCATAGCAGACATTAACTTACCTTGAAAATTCAGCAATACAGCATTGTACTCGGGAGAATTCGACGTTTTGGACATATGGCCTGAAATCAAAATAAACTCAATAAATTGAGACATAACTAGTAAATTGGATTGAAAATAGAAGTAAAGCTTACATTTTTCCTGTTGTGGCTGCAGGGGGAATCCTGCAAGGACAGAAAAATGGATTTAAAAAAACAAAAAACAAAACACATGAGTTTCAATCTATCCCTTTACTGCTGAACTTGGGTTGAGAGTATGGGTAGATAATTTTGAATCATAATTCATCATTTCCTTTGGCAATGCTGGCTGGAGTTCATGTGCATTGACATCTAAAATATTAGGAGGGCATAGTATTGCTTACCATTATTTTAAGGCTGTGTGCAAAAAGACCCAATAATTAATATTCTCATTAGTTGGACAGCTACTAGAAAAGCTCTGAATTTTTCATAACCATTATTAAAAGATTTCCACAAGGGCTTCCTGGTAAGGACCTTTGGCAGGTAAGTTATCCTTGTGAACAGAACTGGGACAGAATCACATTGAAATAGGCATCCAGGAGACAAATTCCTCCAGAGAAAGAAGAGATCAAGGCATTTGCACTGTAGATCTTTGTGAGGAGACGACAGGAATTAAGTTTCTTGTGCAAGATCATGAATTGAGTGGTTTGAGAGACAAGGAATATCAATTCACCCAGGACTGTTGTGCAGCATTTATGAACATATGATTGGCCAAAAAACCTCTCAATTTCTTAAACCCCACAATATTGAGAGATATTCCAAATAGAAGGTAAAAATAAAAATACATTATGGAATTAACAAGAGAAAAAGATACTATCTTAAAATTTTTAATTTAGAAACAAAAAGTTTAAGAACACTGTGATACCAAGAAATTACTATGCCCTTTAAATGGTTAAAGGGAATAGTAATTTTGGAAAACAGAAGATTTCTTTTATATATATGGGACTAAGGTATTAAAGATAGAGAAAAGCATAATAGAACAAAAAGGAGGAACTTCCCTTTTACTTTCACCCTAGTAATTAACATACTTCTACTTTTTCATAATGGTCACTATAAAAAAAAGGAGCAAAATTAGGAGAAGGAAGGAGTGGTTTAGTAGAATAACTTACAGATAAGGCCATTTTACTAGATTGCAAAAATGTTGAGGAATTTGGCAAGAAGATTACTGTAATGGCTGCCAATAATTTGGATGTTTTAACAAGAAATGGTAGCATTTGCAGAAATAAAAAAGGGTTTTAAAAGAAGAAAAATGAAGAATCTGTAGAACAATTGGCTGAAGATCTAAAATGAATTAATAACAATATGGAAGTTTTGGAAGGTAAGAAAAAAGTTATAAATAGAGAGGTGGAGACATAATTGCCAACTTGGCATTACTGGAACTGAGAGAAAAAGAATTTTCTTTGAGATTTAAAGCAATTCCAGAAGAACATGGAGAGAATATAAGAGAAAAGATTGTTAAATCTCTGTCTGATTTTCTGGATTGGGAGGAAGATGACAATGAGACAGAGATCAGTAAGATTTATAGGATTAATACAAGAGTTGCAAAATTAGGAAATGTTCCAAGGGATGTCCTTGTGCAGGTTGCCAGGAAGAAGACTAGAGATCAATTTTTATAGCAGCATTTCAATACTAAGTTGAGGTTTGATAACACAGATGGAATTGTACTTAAAGAGATTCCAGTTAGAATACTGTGTAAGAGAAAATACGTTTTTTTCTGAAAGGCAAACTTAAACAGAAGATTCCATTTAGGTGGGACAAGTTGAGAAGGATAATTTTTACTTTTAAACAAGAGATTCAGACTGAACTCCTTGTAAAAAGCAAGAGATTTTTTTGAGAAAATTTAAAGAATTGGAAGAAATGGAAATGATAATGACAGATATTACAACAGACACTGAAGATGATACCTAGTTCGGTACCACAAATATTGTATAACTGGTTTATAAATGTTTAACATGGAATATAAATGGAAG